TTTCCGCAGTGCTGGAGCTGGTGACGTGGGCACTGCGAGCGGCCGCGGCCTGGCCGGGCCCGGCCCGCAGCCGCTGCCCCGAGCAGCCTGCAGCTGGAGGCGGCGGCGGCCGTTTGCGACGCCGGGTCTGGGAAGTGTATGACAGGAGGGGGCCTCCCAGCCCAGGGCCGTCAGGGCCAGGTTCAGACGATTGCAATCCGTCGCCTGGGCTCCATCACCTTGGGCCTCTTCGCCGCCCCCGTGGATGAAAAAGGGAGGCAGAGGAGAGCAGAAGGTGATGGGAGGAGGATTGGGGGTTTTCTGAACAGTCCCACCTTCTCTGACCTACATGCATCTACCAGGGCTTGCGCAAAGCGCTCCCTGGTGTGGGACAGCCGGCTGAGAAGAGAATGAAACCTTAAAATTTTTGTTTTTTTCCTAACACCTTCAACTCCCAAGTCAGAATAAATCACATCCCATTACTTGACGGCTGGGAAATCCCTTTCGAGGTCAATAAAGCATGAAAGAGTTCTGTCGACTTTTGCCACGTGTAAACTGAGGTTGCCTGATAGTAAGGCAAGGCCCGTCAGTGCTCTGGGTGTGAGATTGCTTGTGTGTCAGGGACACTGTGATTATTATTTAGATATATCCAGAGTCACCAGTGCCAATTTTCCAGTTGATGTCTCTTTGAAGCAGAAAGAAATTCAATTTTTCTTAAAACAACATTCGAGTATTTTTTTACAGTTAAGTAAACAAACTCGTAAAATATCTTTTAATACTTGTGATTTTGGTATTACTTTGATTCTAATAATAAAACTGAGGCTTCTTCAGGTGTTATATAACTATTAATATACCAGCGTCTGATTACAGTGATGACTCTTGCACAACTTTGGACCCTTTGCACAACTTTGGAATGTAAACTGCAGCTTGTGGTCGCACTAGTGATGTAGCAGATTCAATAAGTAACACATGAAGCATGTTGATTGCTGCCTAAAAGAAAAACTTTATGCTATAAATACAGTTTTTCAGCAAGTTTTGTTGGTTTTGTTTGTTTTGGTGTGTATATGGAAACCGGATGGTTTTCTACACAAAAATCCTGGGAAAAGGGGTATTTTGCAAATGTTTAGCAGCAAATTTACATACTTTTAAAATGCTGTGGCATATTCTGAGGGAAAAAGAAGTGGAGTCCTAAAGCCTACTGACACATTTTGATTTAGGTTGTAAATCCAAGACTGGAGAGGGACCTCATGTTCATTAATGAGTGGGTTTCAGAAATAGAGACAGGAATGATTATGGATATTTAGCAGTAGTGAAGATTCAAATTAGTCTTTGCAAGGCGCCTTCTTTTTAAGATATTTGCTTATTGAGCATCTACTATGGGTAAGGTATTGTATTGGCAGGAGTGGGGCTACAAGTATTAACAAGTTGGTGCTGTTCTCTTTGAATTTGCTCTCATCCAAAAATAATCCCCAGGTAGTTCAAAAGGAGCACACTTTTTCTTGCCATGGCTGTTAACCTAATTCAGGCTCTAAATACCTGACACTGGACTCCATAAGGCAGGAATTTCTCCCCACTCCAATTCAGCCTGTAGAGTTTATGTAAGATTAATATTCCTGCAACATGGCTGTTAGGAGGCTATTCCTCTGCTCACATTCTTTTTTTGACCTTCAGGTAACTCCATATTTTAGCCCTTGTTTATTTTTTTTAATCTTCTTCCCACTATTCACTAATTCTTACCTTGCTACTGCCAGCGAGACCCAGTGGCTGACTTCTGTGCTTTTTTCCTGGTCCCTGCTGCTCCCTCTGTTTGACGTGCCTTCTTCGTGGAAATTCTATTCACAGTCTGACCTGGGTCTTCCATAATGCTTTCACAGTAACATATATTAAGCTCTTTTAGTGTCATCTTCTCGTGGTATGCTGGACAGTGATTACTCCTTGTCTGGATGTGTCTCACTTTGTATCATTTTTCTGATATGAATCCCAGACTGTTTTATAGATACTTGTGTAGGCATCTATATATGATTATATAATTCTTGAGGGTAGAAAAAGTGTTTTGTATGGCTTTATATTTCAGGAATAGTCAAGAAGAAAGTAGGCCCTCTGCGTTAAATTAATGAAAGAATAGCCAAATGAACCACTGTGTTCCTATTAATATATATTAATAACTTGACGACAGAATTTTTTAGCCCAATTCTGCCACTTTCTTACTGTTGACATTGTCCGAAATCCTTTACCATGTTTCCTTAATTTAAAGTATACCCATAGTTGTGAGAAACACTTACTGTGGCCCTCCCCACAAAAGATGATATTAAATCAATAGTGTGAGATCCATCTTGGTTTTTTAAAAAGTCGTAGTGTGAAAAATGTCCACCTTAGAATGAAGGAATTCACTACATTTCCTGTTTCTCATTTTCTCTAGACTATAAAACAGTAATTTTTTTAGCCTTCCCTACTCTTAATAGTGAGATAAAATGAGGACAAATGTGAATACCGTGCTCATTTTCCTTTTCAGAATTCCCTTTCATAGAAGAGATTTTTAAAACTTTTACATGATCACAATGATGCTTTTGAAATACGTGTTTCCTTACCATATGGCCAGATGCATTTAAAATATAGCTTTAAACTTTTTCATTGGTAGCATCTTCCTGAAAAATCATTTAGGAAAATGTCATTTAAATATAAAGTTGAAGTTGATTTTTAACAAGACTTGCCTAATATCATAAGCAGATAATTATCAAGTATAGAGGGAGAGAAAAATTGTAATTGTTGACATCTGCCTGCCATTTTAACCTCATCACTAACCTTCCCTTGCCTACCACTCAGCTGGGAACACAAAAGCACAATCCTGGTGTGTTCTATCCGAAATGCCCCTTCTTGCTGTGCACACCCCCAACACCATCCCCTCCACCCCCTGCCAGAAAAAGAAAAAAAAAAGTTCAGATCGCAGCTTTTATACCTGACCAATTCCTAGTCATTCTTTTAAAACGGTAATCCCACTCTTCACTGCATTATACTGATCCCTTCTACTCTTCCTTCGTTCCCTGCCTCTTTTCCCCTCCCCACTCCCACATGTTTTTTTTTAACTAAACTCTTTTGAGGATAAGTGCTATGTAAGAGAATAAACAAGACCAGCCTCGTTATACATTATTATGTCATCTGAATGTATTTTTTAAATTGAGATGTAATTGACATATAACATTTTATTAGTTTCAGGTGTGCAAAATAATGATTTGGTATATATGTATGTTGTGAAAAGATCAACACAATAAGTTTAGTTGATATCCATCACCATACAGTTACAAATGTTTTTTCTTATGATGATAACTTTTAAGACCTACTCTCTTAGCAACTTTTAGCTATCATTAACTATAGTCATCATGCTGTACGGTACATCCCCAGGACTTACTTTTCTTATAATTGGAAGTTTGTACCTTTTGACTGCCTTTACTACATGCATTCTAAATAATCTTTTTGTTGCTTGTTGTTTGTCTGGAAAGCTTTTGACTTTGTCTTAAATGTAAGGGTAGGCCTTTCAGTGCCAGAAATTTTAACTAGATAAGTGGATGGGCACTTGGGGGAGGTGTTGCAAGACTTTACCTAGAAGGTAATATTTGAGCTGAAGTTGGAATGGTGAGTGGGGATTTGCCAGGTGGGGAAGGAGAGATGTCTAGTAGGTCGTTGGAAGTGCATGTTTGCAGTTTAGTCTGTCAGTCACATATATATGGCGGATTTAAAGAGAGTGAGCTACTGGGAGATACTAGGAAGTTAAATGTAGAGTAATTTTATTGATGACTTTGAGTGTGAAAGAGAAGGAAAGAATAAGTTTAGAGTTGTTTGCAAGATTAAGTTGACTGGTGTGTGTGTGTGTGTGTGTGTGTGTGTGTGTGTGTGTGTGTGTGTGTGTGTGTGTGTGTGTGTGTTTTAAGATGGGGGGACGAGGTTGAAAAATTGAAAATGAGAGAGGGCAGGAGCAAAAGCCTAGAGGACTTGGCGAAGGCATGGCATTAGACTCTCTAGTGCTTCAGAGCTGTAACAAAAGGAAGCCCTCTTCCTGTGGGAGATTCAAAGTTAAATTTCTTTAGATTCTTGTGAATCACCTAGGATATTTTAAAAAAATAGATTCAGTGTCCCAACCCCCAGATATTTTGATTCGAGCAAGTTCGTTAGACTATCATCTTCAGAAAATTAACAGTGCGAAAATAAACTGGCAACAACATGGATGGACCTACAAGGTATTATGCTAAGTGAAATAAGTCAGAGAAAGACAAATACCATATGATTTCACTTGGAATTATATATGTGGAATCTAAAAAACAATAAATAAACAAC